CAAGAAAACACATGTCCAGGCCCGTCTGAAGTTTGCCACTGAACATCTGAATGATGCAGAGGAGGACTGGTTGAAAGTGTTGTGGTCAGATGAGACCAAAATCGAGCTCTTTGGCATCAACTCAACTCGCCGTGTTTGGAGGAGGAGGAATGCTGCCTATGACCCCAAGAACACCATCCCAACTGTCAAACATGGTGGTGGAAACATTCTGCTTTGGGGATGTTTTTCTGCTTAGGGGACAGGACAACTGCACCGTATCAAAGGGACGATGGATGGGGCAATGTTCCGTCAAATCTTGGGTGAGAACCTTCTTCCCTCAGCCAGGGCATTGAAAATGGGTCGTGGATAGGTGTTCCAGCATGGCAATGACCCAAAACACACAGTCAAGACAACAAAGGAGTGGCTCAAGAAGAAGCACATTAAGGTCCAGGAGTGGCCTAGCCAGTCTCCAGACCTTAATCCGATTGAAAATCTGTAGAGGGAGCTGAAAGTTCGAGTTGCTTAAACGTCAGCCACCAAACCTTAATGACTTTGAGAAGATCTGCCAAGAGGAGTGGGCCAAAATCCCTCCCAAGATGAGTGCAAACCTGGTGGCAAAACTACAGGAAACGTCTGGCCTCTGTGATTGCCACCAAGTACTAAGTCACGTTTTGTGAAGGGGATCAAATACTTATTTCCCTCATGAACATGCAAATCAGTGCATAATTTGTTAGACATGCATTTCTTTTGATTTTTTTGTTGCTTTATTGTGTTTCAATACACCTACCATTCGATTTTTAGACTGATCATTTCTTTGTCAGTGGGTAAACATTCAAAATCAGCAGGGCATCAAATACTTCCTTCACTGTATATATATATATATATATATATATATATATATACACACACATACACACACATATATTTACAATATATATCATTTGTAAATACATTTTCAAGAGGGTAGGCTGTCCTTAAGACTTTAGGATGGTCCTGATAAGCCCAAATTTTGGTGTATAAGTCGTCGGTATCTATGCCGCAAGGTGGTGGAGCTTTACAGGCAGAGAAGCTTTTTTGAGAAGAGAAACCTATCAAATATCAGTGCTAGAGGATCTTGTTACATTTTGTCTCAGAATTTTCTCAAACATGAAACACGATAATCACATATTGTTAAATATCGTGACACTTATATTATTTAAGTGTCTGTCTTTAGGCGTTTGAGGTAAAGTGTTCTAGTGCCAGGCTGATTTAAAACAGTGTGACTTTTATTTAATTCACACTTGGCATCAAAAATGAATACAAAATATAAAATAAAATACAGAGTAAAATATAACAAAAGTTGTAGATTATGGAAAAAGAAATAAGCTTTGGAGAAATGTCTAATCTCTTGCCTGTTCTATGACAAGTGTTTCAGTCTTGGCAAGGAAGACAATAGGTGTATCAAAGCTTTGCAGGCTTTAAGAAAACAAAAATGTCAGTGCATGTCAGCTGTATAATGTCTTGATGTATGAGTGTGAGTGAGTGTATGTGTCTCTCTATCTCTAAGGCACATCTTATATATATATTTACCAGACCAACCCACTAAACAGTTATTTCCTAATTCAGTGTGAGCTAAATGAGTAAACCCTTTTTTGTACTTCTTCTAAACTTATACTCTTAGTGTCCATATATGTAAATCTTCTAAACTTATATTCTTAGTGTGACGTTATCTTTAAACCTCTTAGACGACAGAAATACATGATACATGATATACAATGGCTTCACATATCTTTAGAAAGAGACAATTGATCACATAAATGCATATAACCAACAATAATTGATACTAAACTTATCACACACTATTCCTAACTAATAAATTGATTATATGAAATAATTATCCAACTAACTATATTATAGATTAGACATGATTTTCTTTATAAAAGACATATCCTTTCTTTGTTCTACTGCATATCAATATCTTTTTGACATTCCGATTGCTATTCTTAAAACTAAGCTTATGACCTGCTGACCTCTTAGACATGAATATACCATGGTTCATCTTTAACACCTGTTTTCAAAGCCATCATACACACGCAAAGTTAAAAATGTACTAGCTAAATGACTTTAGTTGTCATTTTAGAGGAGACACTGATATGAAAAGATACAGACATCTGTTTTATGCTAAATTAATTTCTACACATATCAACACAGAAATTTACTCCAACATGGAAGAGGTCTCCACTTTCCTTTTCCGTCATGGTGGTATTTCTTTATAAATTTGGTGCAGCAATAGTGCTATACAGTAAGGCCTTACAGACCTTACCAGCTTCTGAAAAAAGATCCACTTCAGACCACTTTTCAGAGCGCAAAATTGCAGCGGTTGGCAGGCACTCAGAAGGTGATACTGTTGCTTCCTGATGCAGGTTTTTTTTACTTTTAATTGCCATACTGCAATTTTACATTATGGTCGTGGTGTGGCCCCATTGAGTTAACATTTCAGCCATACACACATCCCATTCCCCATGTGATTGAGGCTAAGGCTGCTAGAACATTTACTGCTCCAGCAGCTGTCCGTTCCTGCCTGTGGTAGGGGGCATTGTGATGTGCGATTCAATTCATCTCACATAGCACCCTTTTTTTTTGTTTGTTTTTTTACAAACTTTATTTGAAGCCTACAAAAACGTACACTTCATCCGTGATGCTCTAGCAGTGTTTCTCAACCTATTTTTTAGGCAAGGCACCCTCTAAAATTCTGGACAGTCCTGAGGCACCCTTTAAAATTATGGACAGTCTCAGAGCAGGGGGGTGGAGCCTGAGGATGGTGGCGGCGGAGGGCTCGATGTAGGAGCTCTCCAATAAGACTCCCCCACCCAGCCTCCCCAGGAACCCTATCTGAGTCGGGGTATGCCGGGGCGAGACTTACCTATGATGCTGGGGCCTCGGTAGCGGAGCGGAGATCCAGGGACGAGGAGGACTGGTAGCTGTGGGTGGAGATCGACCCTTCCGGAGCTCGGCAAGTAAGAGAGCTGGGAAGCCGGGTTGCCGGGAGACAGGAGAGCGGCATAACCACGTGGTCAGCCGCAAAGGAGTGCTGGGAAAGGAGGAAGCCTCTAACCCCTCGTGTGCTGTTTGTTGTTGTTGTGCTGTTCCATGTATTGTCCCCCCCCCCATTGTACAGCGCTGAGCAAACCCTTTATAAATTCGATGTAATAATAATAATAATGGCAACTATCCAAAATGATTTGGGGCAGGTGCTGATGAGTGGAGGAAAAGGAGGAGAAAATTAAACATCAGGCTCAAAACATTTCTCAATTAGAGAAAAAAATAAAGAATATGGAGAAAACCCAGGAAAAGTTGTTGTATAAATTGGAGGTATAAGAAAATAGGGACAGGAGGAACAATCTAATGATGAGAGGATGAGAGGTGTCCCAGAGACTGTAGAAGGGGAAGTACTGCAAGAAGTAACATGTAAAATTTTAAATTTTGGACAGTCCTGAATTAGAAGTGATTAAAATGGATGGTGCCTTGAGAATAGGAAAATGATATCAAAGTGTTGGAGAGGAAAAAACCGAGAGATGTAATTGTCCAACTTCACAGATATGGGGATAGAGAAGAGATTTGGAGGAAGATTAAAGGGAAAACAATGATTAAATATGGCGAAATGGACATTCAGATTTTTGCAGACCTTACACCAGAGACCTTGTGGAGAAAAAGAACTCTGAAACCTCTGATAGAGCAGATGAGAAAAAAGAATGTGTCTTATAGATGGGGGACTCCAGCATGCCTGATTGGTTGGAAAAATGGAGTAACGGTTCACTTCAGATTTCCAGAGGGCGTGAGGAATTTTTGTGAAAGACTTGAGTTGCAAAGAATGGAGATTGCCGGATGGGAAGAAGAAGATAGAGAAGGAGGAGAGACAAGACAAGAGGACTGACAGTCTGTTAGGGGGAGAAGGTAGAGGGGGGGAGTGGAGGAGGGGGGGAAAGGGAAGGAAAGGATTTTTTATTTTTTTTTTCCCTCCTCTTGTTTCTTTCCACTCCTTCCCGCTCCTCTCCTCTCTTGTGAGATTTTAATATCTCCTTCAGAAGTATATATCAGGAGGTTTGAGGAATAGTAGTGATATAGATAAAATAGATTTACTGCCTTAAAGGGATCTCTTAGAGATCTTCCTCTGGGGGATATTGTGGAACTTTAGTGAACCGATTTAATGGATGGGGAGTGCTGGGGAGGTGGGTGGGAGAAGGAGCTGCCCATGGGCGGAGTTCAACCCCGAATACTAATCAATAGTGGCGATTAGGTCCACAAATGATTAACAGGCATATTAGAAGCCTAAAAGTGGGGGGAAGTGGGAGGGAATGGATTGGGAGATGGATGAGATGGGAGGAGGGGTGGGATGGGGAGCTGGAAGGGAGGTGGTGTGGGTAGGGTTTTAGGGACAACACTTTGCATGGTAGAAGGAGGTATAAAAGTAGAGATACAAGAAATATGGAAGATTTACGGTTTATAACATATAATGTAAATGGGTTGAACTGTCCTGGGAAGAGATTTAAGCTATTCAAAGAGTTGCAACATAGAGAAGCTTTGGCGGTTTTTTTGCAGGAGACACATCTTGAGATTAAGTCAAATATTAAGTTGAATTCTAGAAATTACCCAACATGGTTTTTATGCAGATTCCCCAATTAAGAGAACTAAGGGAGTAGCAATAGGGTTTGCAAAAAACATAAGGTTGCAGATAGAGGAGAGAGAGAAATAGATCCTGAGGGGAGATTTTTGTTTTTGAAAGGTAGAGTGCAAGAGATGGAATGTACAATTGCGAATATTTATTGCCCAAATAAGAGACCTGAGGTATATCTGAAAGGTGTTTTTGAGAAAACTGATGGCCTTCAAAAAGGGACGCTGGATAGTGGCAGGGGATTTGAATTTCTGTATGGATCCACAAATGGATACGACCTCTTCTGTGCAGCGAGAGGGAGGTAGGTCTCTGAGAACTTTAAAGAAGGTGATGCATGAGTGCCAATTGGTGGACATTTGGAGAATAATGCATGGAAAGGAGAGAGATTATACCTTCTTCTCTAATGCACACGAGATGTACTCAAGAATGGACTATATATTGGTTGAGCATCAACTCATAGAGAGGGTGGCTAAAGTAGAAATAGAGGCAATGTCCCCCTGGCACCCCTAATCACACGTAGCATTAGACCCTGACCGCTTCAACCCTGGCAAAACGACCACGCGAAATGCCTCAAACGACGCAGTCGCGCGCTGGAGTGCTTATGGCGCAAAACCAGATCCCCTCCCGTGTTCTCCCTCTATAAAGCCGCCTACCTCACCTACACCACTTCCCTCCACGCCACCAAGCAAGCCTATTTCATAACCCTTATCAACACCCTCTCCACCTGTCCTCGTCGGCTCTTCTCCACCTTCAAATCCCTGCTCCCCCACCCCACCCCCACCCAGCACCTCACTCACCACCCACGAGATTGCCAATCACTTCCAAAACAAGATTGACGCAATCCGTAAGAACATTGTCAACTCACAATCCACCTCTCCACCCAGCCTCCCGCCCTCCTTCAACTCTCCCCTGACCTCATAGTCACACTAACCCCACTATACCTAATGCCCTGCACATCATCACCTCCCCAAACACTCCGCTCCTTCAGCCCAACTACCCCCGAGTAGGTCTCTAAGGTCTTCACTGAAGTCCGCCTCACCACCTGCCCCCTGGACCCTATCCCCTCACAGCTCCTCCAGTCACCCCCCCCTCCATCATTCGCTCCATCACCCACATCTTCAATCTCTCCCTCTCCACCAGCACCTTCCTTTCCCCTCTAAAGCACGCACACATCACCCCCATACTCAAAAAACCCTCCCTTGACCCCACTTACCTTAACAACCTTAGACCCATCTCCTTGTTGCCCTTCACTTCCAAGCTCCTTGAGCGCCTGGTCTACAATCGCCTAAGCGCCCACCTCACTGATAACAACCTCCTTGACCCCCTGCAGTCTGTCTTCTGTCCCCTGCATTCCACCGAAACCGCCCTACTTAAAATCACCATCGACCTGCTAACCGCCAAAGCCAATGGCCACTATTCTATCCTCCTGCTCCTCGACCTCTCCGCGGCCTTCGACACTGTTGACCACCCTCTCTCCTCCTTGCCAAACTGCACTCCCTTGGCATCAAGGACGCTGCTCTCTCCTGGTTCTCCTCCTACCTTTCCCAACACTCCTTCAGCGTCATCTACAACACTGCCACCTCCCCCTCCCTCCCCCTCTCTGTCGGGGTCCCCCAAGGCTCTGTCCTCGGGCCCCTCCTCTTCTCCATCTATACCTCTTCCCTTGGCAAACTTATTCACTCCCACGGCTTCAATTACCACCTCTATGCTGACGACACCCAAATTTACTTCTCCACCCCCCACCTCACCCCCTCACTCTCTGCCCGCATCGCCCACCTCCCAAACGACATATCAGACTGGATGTCGCTCCATTTCCTCAAACTTAACTTATCCAAAACCAAGCTCCTGGTCTTCCCCCCACCCCCGTGCGCCCCCATCCTCTCCATCACTACTAACAACGCCACAATCTCTCCCAAGCCACACGCCAAAGTCCTGGGTGTCACCCTGGACTCCCACCTCTCCTTCCTACCCCACATCCAACTGCAGGCTCCACCTCCGCAACATCTCCAAGATAAGCACATTCCTCACCCCAGACACCACCAAACAACTCGTACACTCCCTCATCATCTCACGCCTGGACTATTGCAATTCCCTTCTCACTGGCCTACCCAAACGAACGCTATCCCCACTCCAGTCGATCCTAAACTCAGCGGCTAGACTCATCCACCTCACCAACCGCTGCACATCTGCCTCCCCCCTCTGCCAATCCCTTCATTGGCTCCCGATTGCCCAACGCATCAAATTCAAACTGCTAACTCTGACCTACAAAGCCATTCACAATGCTGCCCCGAACTACATAACTGACCTGATACCCAAATACTACCCTACCCATGCCCTCCGCTCCTCACAGGAGCTCCTACTCTCTAGCTCCCTGGTCTCCTCCTCCCACGCCCGATTGCAGGACTTCTCCAGGACTTCCCCCATCCTCTGGAACTCCCTCACCTAACACCCGACCTCACCTAACAACTAACTAACCTCCTCCACTCCTCCCACCACTCCATCCCCCACAGCCATCTCCTCCTGTACCACCTTCCCCTCCCTCCTAGATTGTAAGCTCGAAAGAGCAGGGCCCTCGAACCCCTCGTGTAGTGTATTGTTACTGTCTTGTCTCATGTTCTGTCCCCCTTGCTACTGTACAGCGCTGAGCATACCCTTTGGCGCTATATAAATACTGTATAATAATAATAATAAAAATGTCTCTTTCAGACCATGCCCCTGTTACATTGAAATTAGAATGGGGGAGGCGATTGACAGGTGGTATAGGATGGAAGTTGAATGAGGTTCTTATCCTGGATCAGGAGATTGATCAGAAGATTAGAGAAGAAATTGAAAGATTTTTTTCAGGAGAATGAGACAGAGGAAGTGTCGGTGGCTACAGTATGGGAGTCCCATAAGGCCTACATAAGAGGTATATTGATCACGTCCGGGGCAAAAAAGAAAAGGGAAAGAAGAGAGAAACTTACTGGGCTGTTAAAAGAAATATTTGACCTGGAGCAGATACATAAAAATAGAATAACAAAAGAGACAAGACAGAAGGTAATAAAAAAGAAAGAAGAACCAGAGATATTGATGGAGGAGGAGAAGAGAAGAGTTTTTAATAGAGTTGCAAGTGAGAGGTATAGATGGGGAGATAGACCAGGAAAATATTTAATGAGAGCATTGAGGAAAAAGAAAAACAGGAATTATATAGAAAAAATAAGAAACCCTCGGGGAGAAACAGTCTATTCTACTAAAGAGATCGTCAAGGTGTTTAAGGAATATTATAGTAAATTGTATAATATTACTTCCCAGGATTCAGTAAATAGAAGTGGAAATGAGAGCAGAGAAAAAAGAAGGGTATATTTAAAAAATGCAAACTATCGAAGTTAAGTGAAGACCAATTGAATTCCCTTGATTTAGAAATTACGCAGGAGGAAATAAAACTAGCATTAAAGAGTACCATGACGGGGAAAAGTCCAGGCCCAGATGGATATACAGTGAGGTACTATAAAAAATATAGTGAATTGTTAATACCTAAATTGAAGAAATGTATGAATGCCCTGGGTGGGGAGATGGAGATGAGATGGGAATCTTTACAGGCCCATGTGGTGCTTATTCAAAAGGAAGGGAAGGATGCTACTCAGTGCTCTAGCTATAGACCAATTTCACTTTTGAACATAGACACTAAGTTATATGCAAAGGTTTTAGCAAATAGGTTGAAAGATTTAATGCCAGAATGGATTCAAATCAGGTGGGATTTGTCCCAGTGAGGGAGGGTAGAGACAATGGGTTGAGAACTTTGTTGCTTATCCAAAAGGCTAGGAAGGGGAAAACTCCGGTAGTGGTGCTTTCGATTGATGCTGAAAAGGCATTCGATAGAGTTGATTGGAGTTTTATGATGGACACTTTGGAGACCCTAGGATTGGTAGTTAGAATGAAAGAGCGGATAGGAAAATTATATAGAGAGCCCTCCGCGGTTATTGTGGTTAACGGAGAGAGAGAGAGGTCGGAACCTATTGGGATGTCAAATGGAAAAAAGACAGGGATGCCCACTGTCCCCATTGCTGTATGTATTATAATTGGAACCTTTGCTGGCAACAATTAGGAAAAACATGGACATAAAAGGAATACATATAGGAGGAATTGAACATAAAGTGGCAGCCTTTGCGGATGACCTGGTGTTCTATGTGGGAAATCCTAGGATAACACTCCCAAATTTAATGAAGAGCTTAAAGGACTATGGGGAGCTATCAAATTTGAAAATCAACCCAACAAAACCTGAGATCTTAAATGTAAATCTTCCGAATAGTGAAAAAGAAAAGATACAAAAAGAATTCCCTTTTATATGGAAAGATAGAGAGATAAAATATCTAGCGGTTAAACTCACTGCTTCATATATGAACCTATATAAAGTAAATTATATCCCTCTTTTAAATGAGATTAAGGAGGAATTAAAGAAATTGGGAGGAGGTAATCCGTCTTGGATAGGGCGTATAAATCTGATAAAACTAAAATGGTAATTGTACCTAACACCCTGTGTAAATTTTAGATGATCCCAGTTAAACTTCCGGAGGTTTTTTTTAAGGTAATTAAAAAGATGTTAACAAGATAGATATGGAAAAATAAAAAACCTAGAATATCTTATGATTTGTTGAGTAGAAATAAAGAGAGGGGAGGATTGGGAGTGCCAGATTTTAGGAGGTATTATAGAGCAGTAGTTCTAGCAAGAATTTATGACTGGACACACAACCCAGAGGGAGAAAGGTGGGTTAAGATTGAAAATGAATTAAGTGGAGTGGACTTGAATAAAATCATATGGGTACCAGCACAATACAGAGGATTAAAAGATACCACGAGTGTTTATACATTAAATCAGGCATGTCCAAAGTCCGGCCCGCGGGCCATTTACGGCCCGGGTGTCGGTTTAATACGGCCCTCCAACAGCCCTCCCTGCTCTGTGTAATGTGGCCCTCCCACAGCCCTCCCTTCTATGGCAGACAGTCTTCTGCTTGAGAGCAGAGGGCAGTGTGCATGCCTGACTGCGGCGCATTCTCCCTGGTCTGTGTAAATGCGGCTGTCGCACGGCCCTCCCTTCTGTGGCAGACAGTCTTCTGCTTGGAAGCAGTGCGCATGCGTGACTGCACCGCGCTGGGAGCGACAGAGGGCGGTGACGTCAGGGCCGGGCTTCCAGCGTGAAGTGTGTTTCTCTTCCCCTCCCGGCTGCCGAGCAGAGACTTCAGCTCCAGCTACCTTTTTCACCCTTCACATTAGTGCAGGTAAGTTTTTTTTAAATTTATTTTCAATACATTGTGAAAACTCAGCTGTCAGTTGATCTTAATGTTATGAAATGAAAAGTATGTCGTTTGCAATTAACTTGGCATAAAATCATTTATTTGCATTTAATTGTAATGGTTAAAAGAATGTTCGGAAAAATGTTTGGCCCTCCACCATGTTCACTTCATCCAATCTGGCCCTCTTTGAAAAAAGTTTGGACACCCCTGCATTAAATGTTTTAAAGGTTTGGGACAAATTGCACAAGTATATGAAATGGGATTTTAATTCACAATTAATTCCACTGAGGAACACAGAATATTTTCCTCCAGGTAGGGAGGAGAGCACAGGAAAATAGTTTAAAAAGGAGGATATTCAACTGAGGGATATTATGGAAGGGCAGGAATTGAGAACACTCAAGGATTTGAAAAAGGACAAAAGGGAACTTTTTATTAAGATTGATGAGTGGAGATATCACCAATTAAAACACTTTGTTGAGAATCTTCCGAAACCTTTGAGATTGAGAAAGGATTGGAATTTGTTTGAGAGGTTGTTGGAATCACGTGGAGATAGGAAATGGGGCACGGCAAAAGTCTATAAGATTCTCACTGAGTTAGACACACACACAAAGTCAATGAACACAGAAAAATGGGAAAGGGATATGGGAATAGAGATAGATGAAGACAAACAAAGGAAAATATATAGACTAACACATGAGAATATAAGCATGAGAGAGGTGGAGGTAAACTATAAGTGTTTAACAAGATGGCACATGGTACCAAACGTTGAATATAAGATGAGTGGGGAGAACACACCAGAGTGTTGGCAGGGGTGTGGTAAGATAGGTACGTTATATCATGTATGGTGGGAGTGCCCAAAGGTTCAAGGTTTTTAGAGGACAATGGTTCATTTAATTGGGATAATCTCAGGGACAAAGATAGGTTTGGACCCAGAGTTGTGTCTACTACATAGTTCAGAACTATCTGTGAATAAATACAAGGATTCGGGTATATGTTACTATCTGAATGCGGCAAAGGGTCTGATACCTAAATTTTGGCATAACTCAGAGGTGCCGAGAGAAGAGGATTGGGTGGAAAGAGTGAACCAGATATGTAGGATGGAGAAACTGTATTATATGCAAGAAGACAAGATGGGGTTACAGTTGCAAGAAAAAGTATGTGAACCCCTTTGGGATTATGTGGAGTTTTGCATGAATTGGGCATAAAATGTGCTCTGAACGTCATCTAAGTCACAACAACAGAAGAACACAGTCTGCTGAACATAATACTACACAAACATTAGATGTTGCCATGGTTTAATTGCACATAACATGTAAACATTCACAGTGCAGGGAGGAAAAAGTATGTGAACCTTTGGACTTAATAACTGGTTGACCCTCCTTTGGCAGCAATAACCTCAACCAAACGTTTTCTGTAGTTGCAGATCAGACCTGCACAACGATCTGGAGTAATTTTGGACCACTCCTCTTCACAAAACTGTTTCAGTGTAGCAATATTCTTGGGATGTCTGGTGTGAATCGCTGTCAGGAATGGACTTGCCAATAATGGTGGGACTCACCTGCCTTGTGGGCTGCAGTACCAGGGCTGGCCAGCGGGTGCTCTCAGCAATCAGAGACTCACCCCTGCAGTCAGCCAAACACCTGAAGCTGATTGCAGGGGTTGTATTTAAGGAATGGCCAGACTCACAGTCAGGGCCTTGGTGTGTGGTTTTCCATGGGCCCCTGTATCTTGTATCCTGTGTTCCTGTTCCTGTTTCTGCCTCTGCCTGACTTGTTGCCGACCCTGCCTGATCCTGACCTCTACTGACTTCTCCTGTTTGATCCCTGGCTTGTGACCCTGACCATTCTCTGCCTGACCCTCTGCACCACGCTGCCCGTGAGTTACTGAACCCAACTTGTGACCCCGACCACTCTCCCGCCTGTTCCTGGTTCTCCGTTTGCTACTGACCTGGCCTGCCTGACGACTCTTGCATTGTATGTATTGTTATCTGTAGGTGGTTTGGTTTGGTTTGTTTGCACTGTGTTTATGTTTAGTTTTGCACTGCGTTTTGTATTGTTAGTCTTAATAAATCATATTGTTTATACCATATCTGAAGCCTGCGTTTCCCTGTGTCAGTCCACACCCCTCTGGTCATACCTGGAGCCCTGACATTACATCAAGGCCAATCCTGACCAGAAGTGGCTGCACAGGGAAGCCATCTTGGCTTATTGCTGCTGGGTAGGATGGATCTTGATAAGGTGGTGTATTTATCTCTGCTAGTGTTTGATGACAAAGACTATGCTTATCAGACTCTGAAGGAGTATCCCAGGGATCAACTACTAGACTGTATAAGGATCGCTCATTGCCTAGTAGATCAGGGCACAGAGTTTTCTGAGGGTGCAGCCATTGATCCAGGTTTGTGCTGAGTTGGCTCGGTCCTGTACCCCTGAAAGCAGGAATGACTTTTTTCCCCCATTTAGTGTGGATCAAGTGGAATCACTGGTATGGTTGTTGGAGGATGATCCAGATTGCTTCCATGAGCATTATGCAGCTTGTCCATCACATGTGCTTATGGATTGCATAAACGCAGTGCAGTCTTTGATCAGACAGGCTATGTGTAAGCTGAGTTTTGTTCAACCAGTACTGCAGACATGGACAGATTTGTTGCACCCAGCCTCAGTCAGCTTGCAACATCATTCCTCTGCTCAAGGCACTCTTCCTGCATCCCCAACAACACCCCCAGTGACGGCCCAGTATACTCTGCTAACTACAACATACCAGTCCCCTGCTCCCACTCGCTGCACCTATCCTTTCTTTAACCCTGTAAAGAAGTCCTCTGTAGCAACTGCTCCCTCCTCTGTTCCATCCTCCAGCTCTTCTCTGTCTTTAGCTGCTCCACTCGTTTACAGACCTGCGTTTACTTACAGTGCTCCAGTAACTAAAACCAGAAAAAAGCAAAAATTCTTTCCAACCAGTACCATTATGCCAGTATCAAACCCGGTCAGCCTGCCATCTGAGAACCCGCCTTCCGTGGTTCAGCCTGGTGCCTCGGCACCCGCAATTCAGCCTGATGTCTCTACCCAGCCTGTTGTCTGTACCCAGCCTGATGAACTGATCCAGCCTAATGATCCTATCATGCCAGGTGACTTGGTGCCCGCTGTCATGCCTGGTGACCCGATGCCCGCTGTCGAGCCAGACTATCCAGTGCCTGATGACCCAGTGCCCGCTGTCATGCCTGGTGACCCGATGCCCACTGTCTTGCCAGATGACTCGGTGCCTGTTGTTGAACCAGATGACCTGATGCCTGGTGACCTGATGCCCGCTGTCGAGCCAAACGATCCAATGCCTGATGACCCAATGCCCGCTGTCATGCCTGGTGACCCGATGCCCGCTGTCGAGCCAGACGATCCAATGCCTGATGACCCAGTGCCCGCTGTCATATCTGGTGACCTAATGCCTGCTGTCGAGCCAGATGACCCAGTGCCCGCTGTCATACCTGGTGACCTGCTGTCGTGCCAGTTGACTCAGAGCCCGCTGTCGTGCCTGGTGACTCGGTGCCCACTGCCTTGCCAGATGACTCGGTGCCCGCTGTCGAGCCAGATGACCTAATGCCTGGTGACCCGATGCCCGCTGTCGAGCCAGACGATCCAATGCCTGATGACCAAGTGCCCGCTGTCATGCCTGGTGACCCGATGCCCGCTGTCGTGCCTGATGACTTGATGCCCGCTGTTGAGCCAGACGATCCAATGCCTGATGACGCAGTGCCCGCTGTCATACCTGGTGACCCGATGCCTGCTGTCGAGCCAGACGATCCAATGCCTGATGACCCAGTGCCCGCTGTCGTGCCTGGTGACCCGACGCCCGCTGTCTTGCCTGATGACCCGATGCCCACTGTCGAGCCAGATGACCCGATGCCTGATGACCCAGTGCCCGCTGTCGTGCCTGGTGACCCGATGCCCGCTGTTGAGCCAGATGACCCGGTGCCCGCTGTCGAGCAAGACGATCCAATGTCTGATGACCCGGTGCCCGCTGTCGTACCTGGTGACCCAATGCCCGCTGTCGAGCCAGATGACCCGGTGCCCGCCGTCAAGCCAGACGATCCGGTACCTGATGACCTGGTGCCCGCTGTTGTGCCAGTTGATTCGGAGCCCGCTGTCGTGCCGGTTGACTCAAAGCTCACTGTCGTGCCTGATGACTCGGGGCCCGCGGTCTTGCCAGATGACTCGGTGCCCGCGGTCTTGCCAGATGACTCGGTGCCCGCTCTCTTGCCAGATGATTCGGTGACCGCCGCTCCGCCTGGGGGCCCGATGCCTGCCGCTCCGCCTGGGGCCCGGTGCCTGCCGCCCTGCCTGGGGGCCCGGTGCCTGCCGCTCCGCCTGGTGGCCCGGTGTCTGCCGCCCTGCCTGGGGGCCCGGTGCCTGCCTCCCTGCCTGGTGGCCCGGTGCCTGCTACTCCGCCTGGTGGTCCGGTGCCTGCTACTCCGCCTGGTGGTCCGGTGCCTGCTACTCCGCCTGGTGGTCCGGTGCCCGCCACTCCGCCTGGTGGCCCGGTGCCCGCCGCTCCGCCTGGGAGCCCGGTGCCCGCCGCTCTGCCTGGGGGCCCGGTGCCCGCCACCGTGCCTGGTGACACGGTGCCCGCCGCCCTGCCTGGGGGCCCGGTGCCTGCCGCTCCGCCTGGGGGCCCGGTGCCTGCCGCCCTGCCTGGTGGCCCGGTGCCTGCTACTCCGCCTGGTGGCCCGGTGCCTGCTACTCTGCCTGGTGGCCCGGTGCCTGCTGCCCTGCCTGGTGGCCCGGTGCCCGCCGCCCTGCCTGGTGGCCTGGTGCCTGCTACTCCTCCTGGTGGCCCGGTGCCTGCTGCTCTGCCTGGTGGCCCGGTGCCTGCCGCTCCGCCTGGGGGCCCGGTGCCCGCCGCCCTGCCTGGTGGCCCGGTGCCTGCTACTCCGCCTGGTGGCCCAGTGCCTGCTACTCCGCCTGGTGGCCCGATGCCTGCTGCTCTGCCTGGTGATCCGGTGTGCCTCTGTCCGGTGTCCAGCCCGATGTTCCTCTGTCTGGCGTCCAGCCCGATGTTCCTCTGTCCGGCGTCCAGCCCGATGTTCCTCTGTCCGGCGTCCAGCCCGATGTGCCTCTGTCCGGCGTCCAGCCCGATGTGCCTCTGTCCGGCGTCCAGCCCGATGTGCCTCTGTCCGGCGTCCAGCCCGATGTGCCTCTGTCCGGCGTCCAGCCCGATGTGCCTCTGTCCGGCGTCCAGCCCGATGTGCCTCTGTCCGGCGCCCAGCCCGATATGCCTCTGTCCGGCGCCCAGCCCGATGTGCCTCTGTCCGGCGCCCCGCCCGATGTGCCTCTATCCGGTGCCCAGCCCGATGTGCCAGTTACCGGATCCTGGCGGTGGAACATTTTGCCCAGCTAGGACTGTTTGGAGCATCCTGAGGCCGCTCCTTGAGGGGGGGGGGGGGTACTGTCAGGAATGGACTTGCCAATAATGGTGGGACTCACCTGCCTTGTGGGCTGCAGTACGAGGGCTGGCCAGCGGGTGCTCTCAGCAATCAGAGACTCACCCCTGCAGTCAGCCAAACACCTGAAGCTGATTGCAGGGGTTGTATTTAAGGAATGGCCAGACTCACAGTCAGGGCCTTGATGTGTGTTTTTCCATGGGCCCCTGTATCTTGTATCCTGTGTTCCTGTTCCTGCCTCTGCCTGACTTGTTGCCGACCCTGCCTGATCCTGACCTCTGCTGACTTCTCCTGTTTGATCCCTGGCTTGTGACCTTGACCATTCTCTGTCTGACCCTCTGCACCGCGCTGCCCGTGAGTTACTGAACCCAGCTTGTGACCCCGACCACTCTCCCGCCTGTTCCTGGTACTCCGTTTGCCCGTTTGCTACTGACCCGGCCTGCCTGACGACTCTTGCATTGTATGTATTGTTATCTGTAGGTGGTTTGGTTTGGTTTGCTTGCACTGTGTTTGTTAATTTTGCACTGCGTTTTGTATTGTTAGTCTTAATAAATCATATTGTTTATACCATATCTGAAGCCTGCGTTTCCCTGCGTCAGTCCACACCCCTCTGGTCATACCTGGAGCCCTGACAATTGCCCTCTTAAGGTCATGCCACAGCATTTCAATCGGGTTGAGGTCAGGACTCTGACTGGGCCACTCCAGAAGGCGTATTCTGTGCTGTTGCAGCCATTGTTTTGTTGAATTACTTGTATGCTTTGGGTCATTGTCCTGTTGCATCACCCATCCTCTGCGGAGCTTCAGTTGGCGGACAGATGGTCATACGTTTTCCTTCAAAATGTCTTGATAAACTCTGGAATTTATTTTCCCATCAATGACAACAATCCGTCCAGGCCCTGAGGCAGCAAAACAGCCCCAAACCATGATGCTCCCTCTGCCATGTTTTACAGTGGGGATGAGGTTTTGATTTTTGGGTGCTGTGCCTTTTTTTCTATACACATAGTGTTGTGTGTTCTTCCCAAACAACTCAATCTTGGTTTCATCTGTCCACAGTATATTTTGCCAGTAGTGCTGTGGAACATCCAGGTTCTCTTTTGCAAACTTCAAACGTGCTGCAATATTCTTTTTGGACAGCAATGGCTTCCTTCGTGGTGTCCTCCCATGTACTCCATTCTTGTTTAATGTTTTCCTTATTGTAGATGTCTTGAGCAAACTGTTGGCGTTATATAAATCCTGCATAATAATAATAATACTGATTAGTATTCCAATGTTTCTCTTCTCCCTCAGTTTTTCTCTATCACTGAGCTAATGTGACCCTGGTACTGACAGAGAGGGGCAGGGGAGGGTCAAAATAGGATGCTGTGCAGGCAGCCTACATGATCATTATCAACTGATGATGTCATTGGTTGTAATGGTGCACAATGAAAACCTGTGGCCTTGTGTAACTAAAAGGCAGGCTTGTTCCACCAGCTGGTTTGTATACACATGTTGGGCAATTTTTAGACATTTTGCCAAGGAATCCCTGAAGAAGCCCCAAGGTGCCCCGATTGAAAAGGGCTGCTCTATAGCAGTGCGATATGCTGCCATACAGTGCCACATAAAGATCAATAAAATGCCACATGCTGCAATGCAGCATCAGGTTCCACTGCAGTGTGATTGGGACACACAGGAAACAACTGTTTTTATTGCGTCCTGACAGCGACAGACGTGTTACAAAGCAGTATTGTCACCGTGCAAACTAGCCCTACTGGACAGGAAAAGACAAGCAGTGGGCCAGGCACGACTTCCTTCAACCAGCCGCTACGCTCTCGGCCCAGCAGGCGGCGCCCCTACGCCGGTTCAAACTGAGGCCTTCATTGCTCGGTTGGATTCTGCAGCAGGATGTCGGAAGCTGGTGGTGTAGCGTCTCCCGAGGACCCATGGAGCAAAGTAAGGAGGGCGGCATAGGACAGTCCAGGGATGGCCAGTGTTACCAGGCGGGGGGAGAGAACACACACAGGTAGGGGGACGGAGTGTATTCTCATGACCGGTGCACCTTCCTCGCAGACTTCTATAGTATCCTCTGTAATATGCTAGTACAGGGTACTGCCACAGTAGTCAGATCTTTGGCGTGTTGATAAAGAGTCGCATCTGTGACAGAGGGGTCGGTTTGTTTGTTTGTTTGTTGTGTGGGTATATAGAAACAAAACACATGCTGTTAGGCCAGAAAGATAGAACGCCCTCTTGGCTTTGGTGACAGCTGCTACAGGATGTGGTGGGACTCTACAGCCAGCCCAGCTGACATCTTTGTTTCTGGTGTTTTTTTTGTTTAGTGGTTTACTACAGGGTAAAGAGATGGGTTCTCACTAATTTCTGCCTTCATGACCCCACCTTGTTGTCACATCCCTTAATCAGAGCTCAGTCCTATTCCTGTGTAATCTGACCTGAGTCAGATGTTGGAATTTAGCCCCCGGTCACATCGTGTGCGACTTGGCATGCAATTTGCAAGCCCTGCGACTTGCAAATCATATGCCAAGTCACACCCTATTGTCCGCTATTAGAGCAGTCATATCCTTGTGATTCTGACTTGATTGGAGCCGCACCGATTTCTAAAGTAGTGCATGCACTACTTTTGTTGCCATTTGCATAAACATCTGTGTCAGATGTCTTGCAAATCACAATTAAATTGGCAGGTCACCTGATTTTGAAATCGTGCGACTTCACTGTAAGTCGCACTATTTCAACATCAGCTTTGATGTGATCGGGGGGTGACACAGGGTACATGACGTCTCCCCTTCCTACAGTGACCATGCCTGACAATTGGATGGTTAGAAAGGATGGTATCCTGGTGGGAGGTCATATGCCACCCCCTCAATAGGATCTGATAATTCCCACCATCTCTGATGGTATTGAGAGGGAGGCATGGAAAAAGGAACCAATAGCAAGTGTTAGACATCGTCTGCAGCAGGGCCAAGATTTACATTTTTAATAACTTTTTTTTTTTTTTTTTTTTCTATCAGTCTGATGCCTCTTTCAGTGATAATGTGGAAGCAGGTAAGTCTAAGTATTGTTTCTTTTGCAGCAGTAGTGTGCTTATTAATGGTGGGAAAAGTGTATATTTATACATATAGTATTGTTTTAGCCTCTTGCTGCCCACTTAAAGGAAAAGTACTGCCAAAGCTATTTTGGTTGTACTTCTCATGTAAATCACTGGAGTGCAGTTCGTTCTGCACTCCTGTGACCCGGTTTCAGTTGACAGTTGGCTAGCGTCACTCAGCCGGTCCAGGCTGGGATAAATCCTGACTTTAAAGTCGGGATCCACTCCAGAGTCTGGAGTGGCACCTTGCTCAGCCTCTCAGCGATCTGCTGATAGCCTGAGCCATCTTCTCCCTCCCCCTCTGCAGCCCAGCGTTCCAGTGAGTGGGAAAGGTGGGGGGGTACAGACCAGACAGCAGTGACTGACAGCGGCTGTGAGAAATCAGCAATCGGTGGTCATGTGACTGTTGAGTTCTCACTCTTAGAGCCAGTGGGGGACAGATGCAGCTTTGGACCGATGCTGCATCCACCTAGGTAAGTATAACTGGGGAAAAAAAAACCCTTCTCTTTTAACGCATATTTGTAGTAGCAAAGAGGGTGGGTTTTAATGCCCACACATCACATACATGTATCCTTCAGTGCCTGATATTTATGTGCTGAGAGCTCTCTCCTAGCACAGAGACCAAGCTGTCAAAGACCACTCTCTGTCTCCACTAATGATCGGGAGCTGGCTGGCATTGGTCACATGACTAGGCAGGCCTTCCTACCCCCTGGGGGCTATTGCCTAGGTAAGAAAAATGTTTGTGTGTTTTTGGGAGCGATTTACCAGCAGAAAAAAAAAAAAAAACGTTAATCTTAATCTCTGCTAAATGCTGCTTAGAGCCAGTTTCCAGGGTTTTTTTTTTCTTAGCTTGCCAGTGTCCTTAACAACCAGTAAATAGCTCGTTCTTTAAGGAGCGGGCCAGCAAGCAGTCTCTGTGTCCTTAACAACCGACGGCTAATCGGCTGTTGGTTGGGTTCTCTGCTGACAGCTG